ATGTTAGGTAAATGATAAGAAGAGAGGAACATCAGAAAGGTGCCTGAATATGAATCAAAACTCAGATATAGACCATGGGACATGTTTAAAAGGCTATCTCTAGAAGAACTTCAAAATAGGGGAAAAGCAATGAGCGATCAATTTGTAAAATTAAGCAATGGTGACATTGTGAAGGAAACTCCTCACCCTGAGGAAGGGATTCTGATTTTATCCCTATCATGTGACTGTTACAATTACCTGGTACTCTGGACTCAGACAGACAAAGTCATGATCTCAGCTCCTCTATTTTATTGCTGTGTGACCGTTGACATAATTTTTTGTTTGTTTGTTTTATCTTTTTCTCTTCCTTTCCTTCTTTCCTTGGTTCCTTATTTCCTGTTTGTTTGTTTGCTTTCTTAGTTTGGGTTGACTTTCCTTTTCTAATTTTTTCATCATGAAAATGTTCAAAGATATACAAAAGAGAAAGTTCTACAATGAATCCCCATGTACCTATTACTCCCCTGCAATAACCATCAATGTCTCACCTATCTTTCTTCATAGATTGATTCCTCTAAACACTTCCCATTCCCTCGCCTGTTGCCTGAGACTCAAGATATTTTAGTATCTGGAGGAGCCCTATGTGTGGCCCCTTTTTAAAGGGCCCCTGCTGGTGGAGGAGTTAGGAAAGGAAGGTGTCATCAGGACGTCTGGAAAAGACCTATGTAAAAACATTATTGTCTTTCTACTCCAAAAACTAGGGTCCCAACATGGACATCATGCTTTAAAAGGTCAGCTGCCTGCCCACCTTCAACTATTCCCTTTCTCATTAGTCCCTCATAACCTGGAACTCATCAGTAATTCTTTGCACAAACAGCTTATGAGCTTTTTCAAGGCATGTGTGAACTGTTCCTTCCCAGGGTCTATCCCAAACCCTTTAAGTGCACCACTAAATTCTAAGGGTGGTCAATTGACTGATTAAAAGTGAATGTAGTTAGAAGGTCCTGGAGAGAGTGGGAGAAAATGTGGACTAATACTCAAAATTATTTTAAAATATTAGGTTTACTGGTCAAAAAGAGACTGCAGAGTGACTATGTGCTGAAGACTGGGGGTGGGGGTGGTGGTATAGGAGGCAGGCTTGCAGGGTATACCCTTTGGTTGGTTGATGATGCATGGAGGGGATTGGAACCATGGTAATGAAACGATATACGATAGAATGAATGTAAAACTAATGTTCTCCCATGTAAACTATCATATAATTCACAATAAAACATTTAAAAAGAGAGTGAGAGACTGCAGGAAGTGCAGACTATGATCTTTGGTCATCCTTTAGGTCTGGGACTGAACTCACCCTCGTGACTCAATTTCCAGTCAAGCAGTAGATAGGTATATAGTAGAAGTAACAACACTAGTGAGGTATGCACACCATGGAATGGTCAACCATTCAAAATCAAAATGGCAGCATTTACCTAAGGACAACATTCAGAAGGCTTGGGAACGAAGGTTGAATATAAACAAGAGTCATAGGGTGAAAGTGGGATAAATGAAGTTACATGGTAGGATGGCAATCATCGAAATGAAATTAAGTATATGAATTGTTTCATTTAAAACTGATTTTCTGTAAACCTTCACTTAATCCACAGTAAAATGTTTAAAAAGAAAGTAAATGTGGAATGAGTCCATGCATATATATATCAGGAAACTCCTTACGATACTAGAAAAAAAGATTCCCTCTTCTCCCAGAAGAAGACGAACTTTCATTTGTTCTTGCCCTATATCACACAAATTTTAGGAGTAGACCTCTGGAAGTAAGGGACAGCTACAATCTTTATCGGTGTTCTTAAATTTAAATTTATTCCACTGTTAAGTCCCATTGTCAAATCAGCTCATAGACTGCTAAAGGGCCAGATCAATATGTTGGAATCCCCAAAAGAGCTCAAGAAAGGCTACACATGAAGCAATTAAGTTGGTAATACGACTGGCACCAGAAGAACAGATTTGCATTGAGCAAGGCTCAAACATCCATGAACTACACATCTATTGGTGAACAAATATTTTCCAGAAGTTTATCAGAAAATTAAAGGAAGCCCTTTCCCTCTTCCTCAGTCTATTCTATCCTCTCACTGGATCCACCTAAGAATAATACCTCCACTCTAGAAACCTTTCCTGTCCCTAATTCCAAGACAAAGAAAACTTGTCTTACCCAGAAACCTCCTGAGGGCCACCTGTGGATGCTTCTGTATAAAACAGGATTCTTGTATATGAACATACATCATTTTTGAAGGAGGGAAGTTATAGGAGTAATACCTATAACCTATGTTCTACAATTTAGCCATTAAAGTGTGTGTAGGATGCAGGTTGGGGCAGTGGTGGTGCATGGCCGGTAAATAAAAGTAGGACAGCCCACGAGAATCATTTGAATTTTTTATTACTCTGTGGATAATATGTGGTTTCATTTAAATAAGAACACAATCTCCATTAACTAAATTTGTAAAAGCAATAACTCCAACACTCACAGCTAGTGCCCCAGTAAGGAATTTTTAGACACATCATTGCTACTTTGAAATTAAGAGTGAATCAGTCCTGTGGAGTTAATTACCAGTAAATATAACTTAAAGTAGGTCTCCCACATGGCGCTGAGCCCGTGTAAGGTAGTTCTTAACCTTAGCTAGCAAGATTGATAAGATACACACTTGAAAACACAAGTTCTTATGTGTGACAATTGTTTATAGGAGCAGTGGGAGGAATATTTTATAGCATCCACAGTGGGAATTAAGGGTAAATATCTCGTTAAGGAAGATCTTTCTAGTAGAAATTTAGAAAAATGTCTCTCCTCCCCCAATAAGAGAAAAATCCTCAGCTCTGTGCTATGTTGTAGCTTCTTCCTTAAATAACTTGTGTTTACAGACAGGAAATTATATCTATTTTTTAATGTATTGGAGTATGGCTCTGGTTAATTACATAAAGTAGGAATAATTTTATAAACTAGAAATACAATTATGTAAAGCCAACACAAAAAAAAGTTATTTTTATCAGCAAAGCTTTCAAATACCCCATCTTCCATTATCTGGTCTTCAAGAAGTCATACAGAAAGCCAGAGAAAGAAGAAAAAAACGCGGAGAAATAGTTGTCTGAACTTTAATATTGGAATCGAGGAAAATGGGAGCAGATGAAACCTTAATAACAAATAAATGGTGCATGCACAAAGTGGATAGATTAATAAAACGACTGCTGATCTATAATTGGTGAAAAACATAGTTGGGGTTTTTCCCATAAACATGTGAGTTTCCTGCAACTTCTATATTTATCTAAACACACAAGTGTTTTTGATACATTGGTGGTTTAAAATGTTCAGGTGAAGTACAACAAAAGTAAATAGTGTTTGTTCCCAATTCACCACATTTATGAAGGTTGTATGGCCCCAAATTTGTAGTTAGTAATCAAGAGTACTGATAGATGATTATTCAAAATGACTTCCTTCCCAATTAGATTTCATAAAGTGGTTTCACATAAGTTTGCATTTCAAATATTTCTAAATAAATTTAGAACATCAAAGGTAAAAATAACAAACCTCAAATAATACATTTTAGAATAGTTCCCTGTTTGAGTTGTTCAATATATATAACTGAGTTTCTTACACCTCCTTCGGCAGACATGAGATTAATGTGAAGTGTCATGATAATATATATGAGCTATGTAGAAACAAACAGTGTGGCTTGTCTAAACTCTAAAAGAACACAAGTGGCTTTGCAGAGCCAAACTATATATATCATTGATTCATCTTGACTGTGGTTCCATTAGCAAGATAAAGTCCCAACCTGGGGTTTTCTCATAAATTAGGTCAAGGTAGAAGAACTCTAGGTAGCCAGAGGTGTCTCTGTGTCTCTTTTCAAATAATTGAAGGCTACTTCTTCTGGTGTCTGGAAGAAGTAAAATGTCCAGTGGTCTTTATCTAATGGGTATTGCTTTTGTATACCACATGCCCAATAAGTTCTAGCATCTAGGAGCATGCAATAGCAGCTAATTTTAGCTATACAATCATAGTATTTTTAGTGTGTAATTATATCATGTGCATTGAGATATTTTAAATATTAAAGACAAAGCAGAAAGACATTTTCCTTGGCAACCATTATAGTACAAAATGTTCAAAGCTGCAATCACACTCATAAGGCAAGTAAATTGGTTACAAAATGAGGGTAGCAACAAGTCTTCATGCTATAGAAAATGTGAAATCTGTCCCTAAAATAGATAATCCCTTATTTGTTTTCAAAATTTGGTTGCTGGCTCAGACAACCTATTATCAAAGTAGAAATATTTCACTTTAACGTTCTATGCCTGTTTTCAGTCTTGGGAACACAAAAAGCTACTAAAATAATAAATTTATGTAGTTTGGGGTTTTTTTTTTTTCCTCACTGGCTAAATTCCTATAGGGGAATTACTTTACTTTATAAAACCCTTTGAGAATAAAAGGGTTTGAGGTCTTAATGGTAACTCCTACGAGTGTGTTCAACTGCGTCTTCACTCTTTCAGGTAAATATATGCAAAGGCTAAATTATAACAGAGGCATCATCAAACAAAGATACTTTCTAATACAGTTCTTAAAGTATGATTTCCTTCCTCAATATTATTTCCTTTGGCTCATGCACACTCAAGGCGCTTCATACGTAAGACGATGAAAGTGGAAATGGTAATAATGGGATCAAAGCTCTTTTTCAAAAGCAAACTGCATTGAAATATATTAAAGTCTTTCCTAATGCCAGTTTGCAAGTTCGCGAAGTCTCTGGCGTAGCACATAAATAAAGGGTAAAAATCAAATGGCCATCCGAAAAGACTTGGGGACCACATTTTTAGAGAGACCTTGGTTCAGGTACCCCACTGGGGTCGAAAGCAAAATTTTCGCACTGGTTTATTGGGCTTAGCCGTTCAAGTCTTTGGGGTAGTGGACACTTTGTGAGCGAAGGAGGCAAGGGTGGCCAAGGAAAGTTGAAAGCCAGAAATCTCTGCCTCCGTCGAACCACACCTGGTCACCAGTGCTGGCCGGCAGCGCGGTTGCCCAGCTGCGCTTGAGACACAGCTGGCACTGCAGTGGCGGCGGCGGCTGCAGCCGCAGCGTCGCCAACGCCTGGCAGGACGGAGCGCACCGAGCGGCGGAACTCCTCGTTCCTCCACGTGTAGAGCAGCGGGTTGAGAGCTGACAGGGCGCAGCACAAGAGCCAGCTGGCCGCCTGCACGCCCCAGGGCACCGGCAGCGAGAAGCCGCTTACCAGGCTCACCCACACCAGCGGCTGCGTGGCCAAGAGGAAGACGCAGCAGAGCAGCAGCACCGAGAGCCCGCTGAGACGCCTCTGCGCCCGCCGTGGGTGCAGCGCAGGCGGCAATGGCTGGGCCTGCGCTGGGTGCGCTGTGCCGCCGGGGCCAGGCGCGTGCTGGGCCCCGGGGAAGGCGGCTGCAGCAGCGGCACACCCAGGCAGCTGGTGCAGCAAGTGGAAGTTGAGGACGCTGACCCGCTTGACACTGACGCGCACGCGGCGCACGATGCCCAGGTAGCAGTGCAGCAGCAGCGCCGTCTGCGCCAGGAGCGCTGCCGCGGCCAGCAACGCCGGATAGTGGACACGCGGTGGCTCGGCGTCCGGGCGTGGTGCCCAGGGCGGGAGCAGCAGCACGAGGCCCAGGGCGAGCGCCCAGGACAGCCCCAGCATACCCGCCGTGTGGCGCCGTTGGTACAGCGCCTGGTAGGTGGCAGGCGCCCGAGTGATGAGCAGGTAGCGGTTCAGGGCCACAAGGCAGTGGGACAGGAGGGACACGGTGAGCCCGAGGCCCAGCAGCCCGCCCCGCAGCAGGCGGTAGCTACCCCCGGCGCCGTCCCAGTCCCCGGGGGGCTCCACGGAGCCCGCGGGCAGGAGCCCAAGCACCGCCTCCTGCGGCATCCAAAGGGCGCAAACGCTGAGGTCCGCGGCGCAGCCGTTCACGATGAAGGCGTTGCTGGTGGTCTGAAGCTTTCGGAAGGACGACACGAGATAGATGACCATGCCGTTGGCCAGCGTGCCCCCGATGGCCAGACCTGAGTACAGGAGGGACACGGGGATTCGCCGGCCCGCCCACGACTCCTCTTCTTCACAGAGCAGCAACAGCGATCCCCCGGTGGTGGAGGAGGTTGACGTGGAGGAAGAGTTGATCATTCTGGCCAACTCTTCACACCTCGCTAGCTAGCGTTGGCTTCTTGCAGTACGGCCCATCGTGACACTTGTCTGCCTGGAGGGCAAAGACATTCCCCTCAGCCCTCTGCCACCGACACAAAGGACTGAAGCACAATAATGGGCTGGGGGATGGGGAGAGAAGGAGCTTGAGGAGAACGGGGGTGGCAGATGACAGGTGCCTGCCTCGGAAATGTCTCCTGTGCCAGGGGAAAGAAAGGCCTCTTTGCATTCAGCAGGCACCTGGGAAGCCCCAGAACAGAACCTTTTTCCTCTTTTCCCCCAATACGCAAATATATACATGCACACACACAGTCAAAGCTATTGGCAGCTGGAGCTCCTAGTTTTCAGAAGAAGGCAGGGATATTCCCTGCTGGGGGAAAGTGCCAAGGAAAAAGGGGTGGAGGGTACCTTGCTTTAGGGTTGTTCCTAAGCTTTTGGTAGTAGAGGGAGGGATGACAGAAAATACCTCCTTAGTAGCAGCATCTGTGGTCCAGAAAGCAACAGGAAGAACTCAGCTGGGATCAGTGCCAGGAACAAGTGCCCGCTTCTCCCAAGCAGTATCCACATGCATGGTCCGAGCTAGGAACCACCAGCTGCAGGGAGTCTTACAGCTGGCAGCAGCACTGGGGAAAGGAAAGTGGAGAGCTGCAAACCCAGACGGGCAGGCAGGCAGGCAGGCAGGCAGGCAAGCAGGTAGACAGCAGCAAGGATGCTCAAAAGCAGAATCTAAGCTTCAGAGGAGCAGCATCCTGTGCTCAGAAGCATGAGTGGTGGCTGATGTGGTGAACCTACCCAAAGCTCACTTGTGCTCAGTTCTACATCACCCCAAGAAAAAGGCAGTCCTTCCACACTTGGCATGAATTATTCAATAGCTTCTAACTTGTGAAAGGAAGAAGAATACCTTGCTTAGAAAGTCCTATAATTAACAAGTTTTGTTTTTGCTCTCTTTTTCTTTCTCTCTCTCACCTGTTTTTCATGCTGCTTCATTTGTCTTTCTCGCTCTCTCTTTTTTCTTTTTAATGTTAGAATAAAATTTAATATATCCCCAACACATTTTATCCCAGTCAGACACATTCTGGGGTAAGTTTTTTGTGAGATGCATGTACACTCTGAATACCCAGAACTGATCTCTTCCTTCCACATTTTGAGAAAATAGGACTTCTAGAGAGAAATTACTTGATATTCTAACTGAAATTCATTTTTCCCCCATTTGGTGAGGTGAAACATGGGTAATGATCCACAGAAAATCTCCAAGCCTCAATTTAAATAATAATTTCAGTATTTCCTGACCACCCAACTCTCCCCAAAATTTGACTTGTGTTTCAGTAAAGATGTTAAAAGTGGTATCAAATGGCAAAGCAAAGAAGCTACATAATGCACAGTATGAGCAACAAAGATGCTTCTTCACTTTAGAATTTTTTGTTTGTTTGTGGTTCCATTTTACTTAGGTATTTGCAGTCTGATGTTGGAGTCTTTTTGCATTCATTTTATCAATTCCGCATGGGAAATTTTTCATAAAAAAGTATCCTCCACCAAATAAATGATTTTTCACTGAGAAAATAATTTATTTGAAATTTTAATTCAATCTGAAGTGTGATTGTTGTTGTTAAGCACCGTGTCAAGTCAGTTCAAACTCATAGTGATCCTGTATGGGATTTCAGAGGAGTAGCTGGTGAGTCTGACCACTGACCTTGCATTTCAAACTGACCTTTAGGTCAAATGCTTATCCTGTGGCACCACACCAGGTGTCCTGTGAAGTATGATGATAGAATATAAAGGGGGGAAAGTAACAGATGGGATTTCAGGACACCAGGATTGTAAACTGCACATCCACCAGCTGGCCTTATAATGGATCATTTTCCTCTTGTCAAATTTGAAGTTTTGATTCTGATTTTCAAAGTCCTGTCTGTTCAAATTCTCTAAAATTCCCACTCATAAATTTGTCATTTCTCTTCTCCAGTTTCAACACTTGAAATATACCTCCTCGTCCTAATGTGGTATGCTGTGGGTTAATGAGCTACACTGCAAAGTTGGTTTGAACCACAAGGTCAGCAGTTCAAGCTCACCAACTAGTCCTCAGAAACCCTATACAGAGTTGCTATGGGTCAGAACTGATTCAACGACACTGAACAACAACAAAAATCTGACATATAAGGAACCCTAAGTAGCGTAGTTGTTTCGAATCGGCCTGCGAACCGCAAGGTAGGAAATTCAAAACTACCAGCTGTTCCGGGGGAGAAAGATGAGGCTTTCTGCTCCCATAAAGATTCACAGCCTCGAAAACCCTGTACAGGGTCACTATGAGTCAGAACTGACTCCATGGCACATAACAACAACAACAACAATGGCACAGTGATCAAGCATTTGGCTGTCAACCTAGAGGTCAGCAGTTCAAATCCATCAGCCAGTCTGTGGAAGAAAACTGTGGCAGTTGGCTTCCATAAAGATTACAGTCTTGGAAACCCTATAGGACAGTTCTACTCTGTCCTGAAGGTTAGATAGGAAGGCAGTGGGTTGGGTTGGGTTTTTTAAATCTAATGTAAATATAGTTCTGGGTCATACAGCAAGTACCCTTTCAGTCTGATTGTAGGGGTAATGCTTCAGGATGAAATACAAAGCACTTCTATTCTGTTTTCCTCTTTCTCCTTCAAAAACAGTACGCTTAGTTAATGACTCTTAACAAATCTGATAGGAGTAGGGTTAAACCTGAACTGATGGACTGAGCCCAGTTAGACTACATTTAAACGGGTTGGAGAGTTTAGAGACAAATCAGAGATTTGCTCTTTAGCGGGTTAAAGGTTTTGAAAGCAAATTTATTGATGTTAAGGAAAATTTTCCATCATCTTTATGCCTGTTGTCAAATGTCTTTATTGAAGCACACCAAGCACAGTGAGTGTGCAGGAGATTCTTCTGATCATTTATAATTAACATTTGTCATTGAAATAAAAAAAATGATCTCACATTAACTTAGTCTTAAGGACGTTCTATAGTAATGGGATATTTGAGCTCCAAGTCCTTAATCCCAGATGCTGCTACTTAATGTGTTGCCTATAAGATTGTTAACATGCCCACTGAAAGACTCCATATTGTCACACATACTTCTGGTAAGATGGGACATGCCTTCCTTAGCACTGACCTAACAGGGATTATGATAATTCTTATTTGGGTTTTTTTAGTTTTATGTTACTAAACTTAATACAGGGTGAGGATTTTTTCCAATCTTATTTCCAGAATCAGAATAGTGCTTGGTATACTGTTGTTGTTGTTAGGTGCCATCCAGTCAGTACCAACTCATAACGACCCTATGCACAGCAGAACGAAACACTTCCCAATCCTGGGCCAACCTCACTACTGTTGATACACTTGAATCCATCGATGCTGCTACTTGACCAATCCATCTCACTGGGGGTCTTCCTCTTTTTCTCTGACCTTCCATCTTACCAAACATGATATCCTTCTCCAGTCACTGGTCCCTCCTGACAATATGTCCGAAGTATGAGAGATGAAGTTTGGCCATCGTGGCCTCCAAGAAGCACTCTGGCTGCACTTCATCCAAAACAGATCTCTTGGTTCTTTTGGCAGTCCATGGCACTTTCAATATTCTCCTCCAACA